ATGTTGTAGTACTGAAAGCTGTGTTCAGGTTTGCTCATTTTTGTAGGTTGAATCTAACATTTTTGGGGTTCTTCTGAATGGTTTAAATTCTTCCTACACTTGTAAATAACAGATCAAGGCATAAGTGTCTGTACTAAGGGCGGGCAAAGGGTAGTTCCTCACCCTCATACCGTTATGTTGGATTTCAGCTTTGGACATTACTCACCATTGGCTGTCCAGGACCTCTAGGAGTTGCAGCCCAACATCACTGGAAGAACTGCAGTTCACACATCCTGTGTAGGCTGTGTGTTGGAACTGAACTGGAGGGAGTACAGAAGGAATTGCATTCTGCTTGGCTTGATCTTGTCCTTGTAGTTCCTCACCCTCATACCATTATGTTGGATTTCAGCTTTGGACATTACTCACCATTGGCTGTCCAGGACCTCTAGGAGTTGCAGCCCAACATCACTGGAAGAACTGCAGTTCACACATCCTGTGTAGGCTGTGTGTTGGAACTGAACTGGAGGGAGTACAGAAGGAATTGCATTCTGCTTGGCTTGATCTTGTCCTTGTTTGCCCCTGAAAATGAGAGCAATTGCACACCTACATGAGTAGCAAAGCCTTACCTTGTTTGTGTCATTTTCTAGTCAGTTTTGTGAAAAGGAAAGCGTAAGCAGGTCGTGAAGGCGGAGACTCAAACCCTTAATCTACGTACAAGAAGGAGAAAACAAAATGAAAGGGCTGATAAGAAAAATCATCAGGATCAAGGTTCCCTCTAAAAAATGTGCCGGCCTGCGTGTTCCTCTGTCCCAGTCCACGCAGGGATCCTCCTCCTCCTCCACATACCCACAGTGATTGTTTTCAGCCCCTTTGTGTCAGTCGCAATGGAACCTCACACAATGTGTGTGTGTGTGTTGTGCACGCAAGGGGCAGAGCCCCGCCCAGTGGGGCTGGTCGCAATGGAACCTCACACAGTATGTGTGTGTATGTTGTGCACGCAAGGGGCAGGGCCCCGCCCAATGGGGCTGATTAATTAGAGGGAATGTAGATCAGAATGTCTCCTCGCTTAATAAAAAAATGTGGATTCTAAATTATCATGATTCTGACATCACTCTTGACTTTTGATCAAGCATATCAGCCAACCAGCATACCCGAATGGTTGAAAGTTCTAGCCATCAATTAAAAAACGGAGTTACTTTGAATCACCTATTAGTTTTTCAGACAACATCCTGAGTGGAAGCTTCTTGGTGCAATTACAAGTTCACTTTGTTCAACGAGTTGTTGAGTCACCACAGTAGATGGCTTGTTAATCATTAGGCTGTTATCTTTCATAGTAGAGGGATAGCCATCTAGAGCAGTGGTTCCCAACCTTGGGTCTGCAGATGCTCCTGAACTGCAACTCCCGGAAGTCCACCACCATTAGCTGTGCTGGCCTGGATTTCTGGGAGTTTTAGTCCAAGAACAACCAGGAACCTGAGCTTGGGAACCACTGGTCTAGATCAGTGGTTCTCAAACTGAGGTCTACAGATGTTCTTGGACTGCAACTCTAGATTTGGCATAGGAAAGAAGGTTGATGCATTTTCTGAAGTGTTGACTGTTGTTGACTGTTGCTGTCTTCCTCCCTCTCTGGGATCACAGACCAAGGATCCTAACCCAAACAGCAGACCTTGGTATTGTCCTTGAGTGTCTCTTCTTCAAGGCGCAGTGGGTTCAAACTCCCACGAAGGCCAGGCAGAGAGAAAACTGAAGAGAAGACCGTGTGACTTGCCAGACTAGAAGGGCTCCAAGAGCCAAAGGACATTCTTCAATAGAACGGGATGAATTCTCTGAATGTGTTTTATATGTCCAAGCCATTGTCTTCTGTGATGGGTGGTAGTTCCCTACAGGTTTGGTATCTCTTCCTATCCCTTCTGTTTGAGGCCTTCCATGTGTCCCTGAGTCCTAGCCCTTCACATGGAGCCAGAGATCCTGCTGGAGTCTGGAATATTCTCCAGCCAACAGCAGTAGAGTGACTGCAATGCTCTCCTCACAGGAATTATGTTGACCATTTTACATGTACAGGAATCCTTTGATTTGCCTAACTGTCTTTTGTGGAATTCCAGAGATTTTAGAATACAACAGTTGAAAAAGTGACACAAGAAGGATGACCTCATTGGAAGGATTGTCTGGGGTGCAAAATCTATCTGCTGCCCAGCCCTTCCAAATTCCCCCCTTTTTTTCAGACTTATCTCTCTCTCCCCCCCTTTTTTTCTCTCTCTGAAATTGTGAGGAGCAGTTGCTTGTTGGCATGTTTTAAAGAAAATAATAAATCTGACAGCAGTATATTCTATAATTCACTTATGGATGAAAATAGTCATCAGTAAGCCTTGGCACTGGATCTCATTGACGGACTCCTGTCAATTTTCATCTCTACTTCTGTGCTTCTTTGGACATGTCAGATCTGTCTGTGTCTCTGGCTTCTTTCTCGTCCTTCTGCTGTTTTTTGTTTATTTGTTTGTTTTTTGTTTATCAAGAAACCAGGGCTTCCTCTACTGGCTGTCTTTCCTGTACTCTACTCTGAGAATTTCAGCTCTCGGTTAACCTTGCATGTGAACTTTGCCAGATTGTGTATGAAGGCCAAATCCTTAAATATCTTTTTAAAATCTATCCAGAGGTATATGGGTTAAGATGAATGTAAAATTCAAGCTTGGAGTTTCTGAGTTGCATCATAGCCTCCATTTTCCCAGAAATCTGAATCTTTACTGCCTGAGTCCTGCTGTGGAAATCTGCATCTCCCCCCCCCCCCCA